ATGACATCCCAACTTATTTTTGCACCTCTAGCTAAACCTTTGTTTGCTATTTTGATAAAAATGTAAAATAGATAGAGTATAAAGTTGGATAACTTTACTAGCGATTAGTTTTCTCCCTTTGACATCTTTTTTCTCCTGATGGCAAACTCTACTTTGAAGATTTGAGACAGTATGAAGTGATGAGGCTGAGAGTGGCTTAGTTTCAAAATCCAACAGTTGTAGAACTTTATGCCATTGACTACAATCAAATGCCATGCATTTTACTATGCATAAATTGAATTACTGCTAAAGTGGCTCAAGCCTTCACTAAGTTAGCAAAGATCTTTGTGTATTTTTAGAAAATGGTCTAGATATCAATATTCTTTGAGCTCAACAAAGAGCCCAAAAGAAGCATATTGCCATAAGTGATGATGTCATGCTTAGCGCTTTAGGAAAAAAGTAGGCATCGTGGTTCCAAAAATCCCATATCGAGCATATAAGGGAGTCTTGGGTGACTTATAAACGATGGTGCTTCACATCCCATCTAGTTACCCTTTTAGGAAGAGGGTAATGGCTCTACCACAAGTGGTACCAAAACAAACCCAACTTTGACCTGATTCCACACCAAGCACTTTTAGGGGGAGGCAGGTAAAGTGGTTGACGACAACAAGGGGTGTCATCGAATTGGGTGGGTGAAGATGTCACACTCAATGTCACTTTTGTGAGAATATCAGCAATATTGAACAAAAATATCACCTTTATTGGTATCTTTTATAGCATGATACTTCGCATGAATATGCTTGGTACAACCATACTATACTGGGTTACTAGTTAACTCATCTATGAATAGTGGGTTATATAGGCTTCCATTAAGTGATGTAATGACCATAGGCCTCCAACATCTAAATGGATAAGTTATAGTTTCTTTAGTGCTTTCCAATTGCTCTTTTTTGGAAATGATGTCCTATATTTCTTACCAAATTGACACATTCCATAAATTTTTTCTAGTTTGATAACTCTTGACAATCCTTCCACTAGATTTAAGGTTGCTATAAGACTTAATGAGTCATGATTTACATGATCAAGAATTCTATGCCTCAGTTCTACATTGGTAGGTGGACATTTATATGCCTGTTGCTTTACTTTCATCCAAATCACAGGAAAACACTTATTTTGCATTTCCATAGTAAACAACTCATTGCCATTAACATAAAAAATCTTGCAACATCTATTTTAAATAATAAAATATAATTACTTTATATCAATTGCCTTACATTGAGGAGGTTACCTCTAGAGCATACATCACATTTGCAATTGACTTTATGCTAGTCACAATTTGAACTCTTATTGTCCCGATTCTTTCAATCCTCAAAAAATCACCATTTAGAATCTTAACTAACGACTTGCAGCTTTTGTCCAAGCTAGTGAAATTTTCTTCGTCATTAGTTATATGATTAAAACAAACATTGACGATAAGCCTTGTGCTCTTTTTGATTCATTAGATTTCCTCACCGTAAATAGAAACATGTTTTCTTTTTCTTGTTGTTCCATCACTACAGCTATCTCATCATTTTGAACGCCCTTAGCCTTACAAATCTTTTCCACATGGCCCATTTTGTTGCAAGATCTGCACTTAATGTTAGGTCTAAACCAATAAAATTTCTCTGAATGATTTTTCTTCTTACAATAAAAACATGAACGAAACCTTTTTTTGCTCTTTATCTTTTCTATCATGATCATTTTTCTTGTAATGTCCATTGTTGTTTCCCTTCTCTTTTCCTATCAGTGCTCTTTGATATGCTTTTCTTGGTTGAGAACTCTTCTTTGCTCTTGAGCTTGAAAAGCATTAGCTAGCTCAGTAACTAAGAGCTTTGAGATATCCTTTAAGTCCTTCAACGAAGAAATTTTGGCTTCAAACTTCTTTGGTAGGTTCACAAGGATTTTATGCATTCTCTCTGACAAATTCTCGCCTAAAAATCTTAATTGGTTCACAAGCTTCATAACCTTGTCTATATAATCCTTGACACTCCTATCATCTTTCATTCTTAATACTTTAAATGCTCTAAGCAAATTAAGCACTTGAATCTACCTAGTCCTATCACTACCATGAAATTCCTCCTTCAAACAATCCTAAGCATCCTTAAGCAATTCACTAGTCATTATTCTTGTGAAAATAGTATCTGACACAATTGAATGGATGCAGGAGAGAACCTTAAATCTTTTCATCACTTATTCACTGTACTGCTTCATCTGCTCTATTGTGGGGTTGGGTCTCTATTTTTATGGCTTACCTCCTACCTCCACAACCTCCTATAAATCAAAGGCTCTAAGATATGCCTTCAACTTAACAGCCTAAATGGCATAATTTTCACTTGTAAACACAGGCCAAGCAACAACATTAAAGCTTGAGGAAGCCATGGTTAAGGTGCGTTATTTTAAAAAGCCTGAGAATGAAGATTTGCCAAAAAAAAATAATTGTTAGTGATTTTTTTATTTCTAGGTCCTTTAAAATCCTTTATGAAGCTCTGATATCATGTTAGATTTTGAAAAAAAAATACGCTACACTTCATTTAATGAAAACAGTGGGTTATATTTACAGACACTAGATAACGACACACTAGTGCCATGTCACACAATGACATCCTAATGGGGTAGTGGTTTATCAATTTGCGAGATACCACTTGCCCACTACAACCACATAACTGCTTTTGATACTTGCTAAAAAAACATAAAAACACAACAAAATAACATAAATAAAATAAACACAAGAAAAACACGTTCTAGAGGTCATTGAGGTAGATTTCGTTAATGGCAAACTCCTAAATTCAATGAGAACCCTATTATTCAATGAAATTTTACTGACATCCTCTTACTTTATGCACATCTTTTCTCTCATTCTCTGCCATTTTAAAAATGAAGTTTTAACATTTCAAACTTTAAACTTTTTCAAGCCTTTAGTACCTCCTTTAACTTAGGTTGATAAAAGAAATCTCAACTAATTCTTGCACCTCTAGCTAAACCTTTATTTGATTTTTTAATAAAAAAGTAAATATGATAGAATATAAAATTGGATAATTTCATTAAGGCATAATTCTTTAAAAGGCTCTCGAACTATTCAAAAATTTTAAATGAGTTCTTATTCTTCTATTACTTTCAATTAAGCCCTTATATTTTTATTTCAAGGAAAATATGCCCTTATGGCTAGTGGTTAACTAACTACTATTATTCAAAATAACATCAATCATTTTATGCTTACATGGCACTAACATGGAAGGTGAAACTACCATGTGGCCATATCATCCTATCATACTAGCACGCAATGTTACCATCTACTACAACATGTCGACATGTTACATCAACACTACATGATATAAAATAACAAATGTTATTTTGACTAACGACAGTTAGTTAACCGTTAGTCATAAAGACTTATTTAACTAAAACTAAAAATATAAAAGCTTGATTAAATACAATAAAAGAATAAAAACTTATTTAAAATTTTCTAAATAGTTCAAAGGCTTTTTTAGGTATTATACAATTTATTAATAACTTTTTGAGGTAACACAAAAATTCATCTCGAAATATTATGCACATTGAAGAGGATTTGTTTGGCAGTGCTACAGCGGTGAAACGTGAGAATACATTTAATTTTTGGGTAATTTTATCATTAAGGATATCAAAGAGTTCAAATAATAAGTAATGTCATATTAGATTACAAAATAATTAATTAAATTAAAATGTTCATAATAGAGTATGTAAAAAGTGCCTATGATAGAGAAAGGAAGTGTTGCAAACAAATAAAAAGATGCACTAGAAGCGATGGAGAGGAAAATTGGAGCAATTCTTAAAGTACTGAGTGTTGTGACAAGTGAAAGAGAATAGATGAATTGTAGAGTAATAATTAAGGATAAGTAAAGAATAAACAAATAGTAAAGTAAACGTATTGCTAAAGTAGTAGAGTAAAATTGTGAATAGGTAAAGAATAGACAAACGGTAAACTGAAGCTGAGAAAGACTAAGCAGAAAAGGGTTAGAGTGAGAATTGCTCTCCATGAAAATATGTTATACTCAACCTGAAAATCCCTCCCTGCACCCGAGCATTTGACTCATTAGTTAATATATTATTTTCTTACCTAAAAAGTAGGGTTTGAATCCCCCCTCCCTCAATTATAATAAAAAAAAAACTGAAAATCCCTCCCTTAAATGAATTGTGAAAACTTTATTTTTAGAGCTAGACGAAAAAGTTACTCAATAAGAGCTATAATGCATATAATGGGTAACATTTATTGAGAAAAGTTTTAATGCGTATAATGGGTAATTATTACTAAGAGTCATTATGTAGATATTAAAATAATAATTTTATTGGATATAATGATAATAGTTTAAAAATCATTATGTGATTATTGAAGCAATGGGTTTTATAACTATTAATAATATAATAAGACTTATAAAAAAAGTATACTTGAGAAAGTATAGGGAACAAGGTAAAAGAGAAGCACAAAATCAAACTCTCAATAACATCCAAAGGGGAGTTAACCTTTAGGTTCCCATAAACCCAATCACTTATATTGTTATCCGTATAAAGTAGTTATTTCACTTCTTATGCTTGTTCCATGTAAAGTGGTGTTTTTTTTTTTTAATTGAGAGAGGAAGGATTCAAACCTATTCTTTAGGTAAGGGGATTATATACTAACCAATAAGTCAAATGTTCGGGTGCATGTGAAGGAGTGCTTTATTTATTCTAATTGTTTCTCATAAAGTAATATTTCACTTATTCTAATTATTTTGATAAAAGACTGTTTCACTTATTTTAATTTTTTTATTATTTTTTATATAATATTATATTATCATAAAATAATTTTTTAAAAAATAATTAATAATCAAAATCAAATATCTCTCAACTAATTGTAAGAAAACATCTAATGATGGCTTAAAGGGGCGAGAAGCCATTGAAATTACACAAGTACCCCATACCGACCACCGACCCCCGACCCCCAATATCCACCGTCTTACCCACTTAAAACCTTAATACATAACTCCAACCAGCGAAGCTTTGAGACAACTAACACAAAGAAAGCATAACAGAGCTATCTAATTAAAGGCCATGGAGGACGAGACAGCAGATAGCAGGAACAAAGCAAGACTAGCCATAGTGGAACTGGCAAACATGATAAGCGTGCCCATGTCTCTCAACGCCGTCGTCCGCCTCAACGTACCAGACGCCATCTGGCAAGGCGGCGCCAACACCCCTCTGTCCGCTGCCCAGATTCTCTCACGAGTCCTCCCTTCTGGCGGCGGAGACCCTGAGAATCTCCAGCGTATCCTCCGTATGCTTACCAGCTACGGTGTTTTCGCTGAAAACCTCGACAGTGAGTCCCGTGAAAGAAGATACTCGCTCACTGACATCGGAAAAACACTTGTCACCGACGCCGACGGTCTATCCTATGCACCTTACGTGCTACAGCACCACCAGGTGTGTAACTATTATTGTCGATGTTTTAATTGAGATTTCTTAATCATTTAAGAAAATTTCAGCATTGGAATCATCGCATTAACTGTTTGCCTTGTACAGTAAAATATTGGACATCGCAATCTTTCTGATTTTACAACTTTGTTTGAAAGTGGTTGACAATCGATTGCTTACGGTAATACTACACAATTCAGGATGCTTTACTGAGGGCGTGGCCATTGGTGCACGAGGCGGTGTTGGATCCAACATCAGAGCCGTTCGTGAAGGCGAATGGCGAGGCAGCTTATAGTTACTATGGGAAGAAGCCAGAAATGAATGGACTGATGCAGAAGGCCATGTCTGGAGTATCAGTGCCATTCATGAGAGCTATACTCAACAACTATGATGTGTTTAAAGGCGTGAAGAGATTGGTTGACGTGGGAGGGAGTGCTGGGGATTGCCTGAGAATGATTTTACAGAAACATCCCCATGTAGAAGAAGGCATCAATTTTGACTTGCCTGAGGTGATTGCCAAAGCTCCAGTCATTCCGGGTGAGGACTTTGATGTGTTCCCTGTTTCTCGATTGAATGGGTTCGTTTAACATAATCTTGATTTTCTTGTGGAATTTACTGTTGAAGGCGTGAGCCACGTTGGAGGTGACATGTTCAAATCCATTCCCGGTGGTGATGCAATCTTCATGAAGGTGAGTTTGATATTCATTTTAACAATGAAAAGTAAGTTCATCAACTGCTTTTCTTAGTGGCCACGAGGATCCTATCATCTAAATCTGGTCTTTTGGTTGTCCTTTTTTGATAAAAGTAAACATTCATCCGAATAAGACAAAATACACCGAAAACACTTTATCTCATTGTTTTATTTTTAAATAATACTAGACTTTTACCCTAAGCATTAATAAAACTAAAGAAAAAGAGTCACAAAAAATAAATTTGTAATATAAAAATAAAAATATTAATTTTTTAAAAAAAATCATATGAAAAATCTAAAAAAAGAAAGGAGGATAATTTTTTTTTTCTTTTCAATGATCTTGGTGTTGTCCTAAGCATTAATTAAATGGACTGTTTCCAACCTATCAGACAAATGATCCATCTCGGAAATTGAAAGCATCTTTTTCTTTGTTTTATTCAAAAATCATAATTTAAGTAAGTGATCTTTTTACTTAATATTGTATATGCTATTTGACAAGGAAAGAAAGACCCATCACCTGACCTGCGTACCGGTTCCACAGGTGGGATTCCTTTCTTTCTCAATAGGAGTCTCTAGTTTTGGGGAGTGATTAAAATGCTGAGCTTACAAGGAATCATTGCTTTATTTACGGAAATGTATCCAAAAAAAAAAAAAAGGATGCCGTCTCTCTCATGGCTTCCTTCTGCCTTTTTTTTAAATTTTGGTGTCAAGATATAGTCTATAACTGGCTAGATAATATGTATATACAGGCCGTAGCATATTCATGGTTAGCACTTAGCTAGGCATGGTTTGTCTTTGTTAGATTGGAAATCCAGGATCTTTAGGCTGCACAACGACTAGGTTTAGCCTCTTCTTATAACATACTCGTATGAGCCTCAATTTAGATTTGGTTTTTTTTTTTTTTGTGGCTATGGCGCTTTTATTTGCAGCTGCACTTTAGATTATTGGTTGCAGGGTTAACTTAGTTATGAAAATTGTGGTTGCAAGTGTACTAAAGCCAACTTGCACTAAGTACCGGGGTACCCGTCTGACCAGGATCCGTAAACATGGCCCGGCCAGTTTTAATCAATCAAAGCTTTGCTTTCCAAGCAGATGCCCTTTGGTCTGCATTTTTGGCTAATTATGTCATTCGCCCTCTGTCCGGCCTTGTCGTTCAGCTACTTAATTATTGACACGTTAGCAACTGTGCCTGGGGTTGATGCATTGACTAGCTAGGCTGGCTTTAAAGTTTAAAGCCCTGTTTGGCGTAATTAAAGTGCCTTAATGAAGCTGATGGTTTTCATTTCACTTTGCCTGGCAGTGGATCTTGACCACTTGGACAGATGATGAATGCAAGCTTATAATGGAGAATTGTTACAAGGCACTGCCTGTAGGAGGCAAACTGATTGCATGTGAGCCAGTGCTGCCCAAGGATTCAGATGATAGTCATCGGACTCGTGCTCTCCTGGAAGGTGACATTTTCGTCATGACAATTTACAGGGCCAAGGGTAAGCATAGGACAGACGAAGAATTCAAACAGCTTGGCCTCTCTGCTGGCTTCCCTCATTTTCGAGCATTCTATGTTGATTACTTCTACACTGTCTTGGAATTTCAAAAATAGGATTGAAATTGCCCGACTCAATAAAGACTAATAATAATAATAAAGGGGAAGCTCGTTTTCTGGTCGTACTTTTTTGTTTCCAAATGCTTTTGTACTTTGCCAACGTAAGAGTGGATTTTTTATGCCCTTTGTTGACAAGATGAATTGCTAGGACTATGCCTTGGTGGCATTGTAGTTTGCACTTGAAGGCTGCTCTTGGATCATTCGGCTTTTAAAAACACCTCTTTATGAAGTATTATATTCATTCGTACATATATGCAAGTGTTGCGCATTGCACTCTCTCTTTTAACCAAAGGGAACTTAACTATTGATTTCCATTAATTTATTAAAAACTTTGGTTTTAAAACCCAAATTTGAAACTTCAAAACTCTACAAGAACTAATCACATGAACTTCCTTTGTTATGACTGAAGGGATTTGATCAACATCATACAAACAGTTACCCCTGCCGGTGTACGTTTACTAAATACCCTTATGACATGATTAATTACTCTAGTTTATTTCATCTACATATAAAAATTCCCCTCTTACATATGAATTAATAACCATAAAATCTACATAAACTAGTGGGTATGTGTATATTTTTTCTATAATCTATCTAGTTCTAGCCTCAGAACAAGGTCTAGTCCTGAAGCCATTCATTTCCATCAATGTATGAAATGTTCATGTAGGCAGCTGCTTCATATTCAATTAGCTGCTTCCCATAAGAAGCTCTGAACGTGTAGTTTGCTCCAGGCCCTAAGCACTCATATTCTCCAAAAAATACCGTCCTGGAAATAGAAACTTTAAATATTACAGGAAATACATATAAAAGGCTTGATCAATGAAAAAATCGCAAGCAATGCTATAAAATAATTGCAATATATGAACATAAAACAACGTATATATATAGGATGCAACGTGGCGAAAATCAGCAAAAATCACAAGAAAAAAAGGTTGTAAATTTTGAAAACAGGAGAAGAAAATATAGTTTGAATGTAAGGTTATAGAAAGGTTTTGTAAATTGTTTGAGAAAATATATGTATAAAGGGTATGGATTAAAGGACAGACTGGTCCCTAGTGGGGTCTCGCCAGTCATTCCATCCGTCTGGAGCCACAACATCAGACATATAAGTTCTGGAAAAGACCACAGTGGCATAAGCTCCCCAAGCTCTTCCAAGCCACACGGTCCCGGTTCCCCGGATGATGCAATCCACGAAGGAAAACCCTGTTTGCTCATTCATCGACTGCCTTGCTTGAGCTGTGATGCATCCGCCAACCCCACTCGTCCCTTCTTTAGCAATTGAATGGATAACGCACCCCTGTCATTAATTGATTACCACCGTAAGTTTCTGACATTTTGGGACAAAAAGTTTTTGCACTCAACAATTGAATGTGGAGTGGTAGAAGGCAGAAGCAGGTTAGCATGCGGAGATCCATGTGATTTGTGACAAAAAAGCTTCCTTGCCACTCATGAGCCCTGTCTTATCTAAATGCTATCATCAATTACGGTAGGAGAAGCTAAACCAAAATTGCAAAACCTAACTCAAATCCTTACCTAAATTGGAATCTAATAATTAAGGGCGACAAGTCTACAAGTCTAAAACTCCCAAAATAACTACACGCGTGACATGATTTAGCCTAACCAGCAATATAGCTAACACTACCAGAACATTACGATGCCGATGCACAGTATCATAAGTTAACCTTATATAAGACTATGATAGGGTAAATTACATAGGAGATTAAGACTTTTGTACTTGCAAAGGAAATGTTCCCCTTTCAAACATTGTAATGGCATTTGGTGACAATTCTAGAAACACTTGTTAAGTCTTTAAAGAGAAAACTCTTTATGAAGGGAATGTCCCCATCTCACACATTGTAATGGCTATTGATTAGATACTTGTTAATTCTCGTAAACTCTTTATAAGGGATGAACAGTCGACAAATTGTTGAGCTACCTCGCTAGTAAAGGTATATTTGTGACTAATCATCTAAGGTTGCCCTTATGATCCGATGATGACACATTTTGGTCCCTTTGTACTCATTTTCATATCAATAAAACATTTTTCTTTATGTGGCTCTAGTAATTACGTATATAGCATTCGATATGCCCAATGATTTCAATGTATATTGCCTTAATCTAATTTGTAACTATTATTGATGTTTGTTCAAATATAAACGCATTATTGGCTAACTTGCATGGAAACATCTACTCAAGCGCTGCACAGATTATCACATACTTAAGCAAAAGAGCGTAATTTATGGCAGTTGGTATCAGAGCACAAGCGAGATGAGTTGAGCTAAAGAGTAAACATAGTGACCACACAGAGTTCACTAGAGGACCATTGGAGGATTGATGAGCTAAAAGTCGCAGTGGCCGCAATAAAAGCTCAAATGGTCCCGTGCAAATGAATAGATGAAATTAAGATAGTCCAATGGGAACTATTTGAGATGATTAATACCCTAAACAATGAGAGCAAGGATACATTGAGCACTCTCCAAGGCGATATTGAAGAACTGAAAGCTCGGGTAAATCTTTTAGTTATTGATGGAAATAATACCAATGCAAACTTAAGAGATCAAGGTAAAAAGGTCAAAATACCGAAACCAAAGTGATATGAAAGGGCCAGAGATGTTAAGGAGTTGGAGAACTTCCTTTTTTATATTGAGTAGTATTTTCAAGCTATGTGCACAAAGTCGAAGGAAAACAAAGTGGCGATGGCTTCAATGCATCTTATTGGGGACGCGAAGTTGTGGTGGCATTCCAAATTCATTAATGATGAATGCCGCATCAACACTTGGGCGAATCTGAAGTAAGAATTGAAGAACTAGTTTTTTCTTTAGAATGTAGAGTACATGGCAGAGATTGTGAGAGCTTACACAAATAATGTCAATACAAAAATTTGTGCGAAACTTCTCTACCTTAATGTTAGATATTAAGGGCATGACCAAAAAATATAAATTGTTCTATTTTCTCGAAGGCCTGAAGCTGTGGGTGAAGAAGGAGTTATAGCGAGAAAAGGTATTCAGCAATGGCAGCTGTAGAACATCTTACTGATTATAGTGAAAACTCCCATAAACGGAAGGACTCTCCATCAAGAACTAGTAACTTGAGCTCTAACAATGGGACAAAATTCCTAGGAGTTAGCAGACCCTTAAATGGGGGAAGAGAAAAAAGATCACCTACTGGGGAAACACCACAACCAAGAACAACTAAGCTATGGGGCTTCAAACCTTGAATACTTTGTTTTCTCTGTAATGAACTTCATAGGGTAGCTAAATGTGCACATCGAGTAACTCTCAATGCAATATGTATGGCTAATGTAGAAGAACCTCGAGCTCAGACCCCAGTTGAAGAAGTCGAGGAGGAGCCAGCACGTATAAGTTCTATTCAGTTCCTTAGTGCATTGTAAGAGCAATTAGAAAAGATAAAGAAAGAACCTCAACGAAGTCTTATGTCTGTGGATGTGTTGGTTAATGATAAAAATACCAAAGCCAAGCTTGACACAAGGGCCTCCGATACCTTCATCACTAGGAAAGAGGCAAAAAGATGTGGTTTTAAAGTTGAGAAAGGCTTCGAGAGGATGAAAGCAATCAATTCGCCGGCTTCAACTTTTATGCAGAACTCCATAGACATAAAGGTTAAGATTAATTCTTGAGAGGGAAAAGTGAACATGACTGTAGCCACTATAAATAACTTTGATTTTGTCTTGGGCTTGGATTTTATGACGAAAGCGCAGGTCATCCCATTTTGTGCTACAAGTTGTCTAATGTTTTTCAAAGAACAACTATGTGTAGTACCGACTATAATTTTACCCAAATGTGGGAAAACGATTATATCAGTTATCCAGTTCAAGAAAAGAATCAAAAAAGGAAAGCCCTCTTATGTGGCCATGCCTATTTACAAAGATGAAGATAGCATAAATCCAATACCCAAGGGAGTGAAGCTAGTTTTGGAAAATTTTCAAAATATGATGCTAGAATAGCTACCTAAAGTTTTACTACCTCGACAAGCTGTTGATCATTAGATAGAATTACTTCCAAGAGTCAAGCTACCTGCAAAAAAGATATATAGAATGGCTCTCTCAGAGTTAACAAAGCTAAGGAAGCAATTAGACAAACTAATTAAAGCCAAATTCATCCGACCATTAAAGGCACCTTTTGGGACCTTCAATACTCTTTCAAAAGAAATAATATGGGAGTTTACGATTATACGTAAATTACCAAGCTTTGAACAAAGTCACAGTCAAGAATAAATATCCAATTCCCTTTATAGCAGATCTCTTCCAAATTAAATTTGAGATCAAGCTACCATTAAGGAAGACTTGTTGAGGGAGATGAATTGAAAATCACCTACGTGACGTGGTATGGTGCATTTGAATTTCTTGTTATGCCTTTTAGACTAAGCAATGTTTCTACCACCATTTGCACATTGATGAATCAGGTTTTTCATGATTATCTAGACAAGTTTGTGATAATCTACTTGGATGATATCATGGTGTACAATTCAACCTTAGAGGAGCATCAAAGGCACTTATGGTGGATCTTCCAAAGGTTACTCGACAAACAGTTATATGTGAAAAAAGAGAAACGTGCATTCGTGCAAACCCAAATTCAGCTCTTTAGTCACATTATCAAAGAATGGCATATTTACATGGATATGTAAAAAGTGAAGGCTATCAAAGAGTGGGCCACCCTAAGAATACAACCGAGCTTCGTTCGTTCTTAGGATTAGCCAATTATTATCAAAGATTTATGAAGGGATACTCAAAAAGACTGGCAATACTCACAAACTGTTGAAAAATGGATAGAAGTGGAGTTGGACATCGTAATGCCAACAAGCTTTCAAAGGCTTGAAAGATGCAATGATGACGGATCTTGTTTTAGCACTCCCTAATATCAAAAAGCCCTTCGAGGTACAAATGGATGCATTTGAATTGGCCCTTAGAGGATTGTCGTTACAAGAAGGATACTCGGTTGCATTTGAAAGGCATACATTAAATAAAGCTTAGAGGAGATACACGGCATAAGAGAAAGAACTACTAGCAATGATTCATAATTTACAGGACTAACGACACTACTTGCTAGGATCATAATTCATAGTTCAGACCGACAACACTACTGTAAATCAATTCTTCAAACAACCAAAACTTACATCAAGTAGACAAGATGGTAGGAGTTCTTGGCCAAATTTGATTTCTCTTTCAAACACAAAGTCGAAAAGATGAATCGTGTAGTAAACGCCCTTAACAAAAAGATCGAGTTCACAGCTCTCAAGGTGATCAAGTCAATGACAGTCAGCAAAGTGACCACAAATATTTGTAATCTTATTGAATAAAACTTACATCGAGATCCCTAAGTAATCGCCATTATGAAATTGATGGAAAGTGGAAAGTCAAAATACTTTTTGGTAAAAAATAGGCTCCTATTAATAAAAAGAGCATGCATATTTATTCCAAAAGTATGAAAGCTAAGGTAGAAATTGATGCGGGAATGTCATGACACTCTTAGGTGGGACACTCAAGTTAACAGCGAATCACTACACTGCTAAAACAAGGTTATTATTGGCCTCATATGAGACAAAATGTGATAAACTATACCAAGACATGCCTCATTTGCCAACAAGACAAAGTGGACAAGCAAAGATAGATGGAAATGCTTGAACCTCTACCAATGTTGACGAAATCATGGGAAAGCGTTTCTTTGGACTTCATAGTTTGACTTTCTAAAGTAGGAGATATGACAACAATCCTAGTAGTGGTAGATTATTTCTCCAAGTACGTAATGTTCATCCCAATGCAAAAGTTTTGTTCTATAAAAGAAACAGCTCATACAGTTTTTAAACATGTAATAAAATAATGAGGTGTTCTTAAGAGCATTGTTAGTGACAAGGATCCAAAGTTTACTAGTTTTTCCTAGAATGAGCTTTTCAAGTTATTGGGGTCAAAACTTAACATATCTTCCAATTCTCACTCACAAATAGATGGCCAGACAAAATGCTTCCATGGATTGCTAAATGAATATCTACGACATTTTGTATAGGTGAACCAAAAAAATTGGCCTAACCTACTAAATATGGCTCAACTATGTTTCAATTCGCCAAAAAGCTCAACCACTAATAAAACTCCTTTCAAAGTCATCATCGAACAGCAACCTAGACTTCCCTATACCTCAGTGGAATCAGATAGTGGGAAAGCCCTTGAGCATTCAACTTTGCTAAGGAGTGGAGACAAAACACTAAAATCACTAAAGCCAATTTAGAGAAAGCTTCCAGTCACATGAAGAAATTGGCAAATAAAGGTCGAAGGGAGCAACACTTTAAGGTGGGAAACTTGGTGCTAGTGAAGCTAGCACCCGAACAAGTTCGATTCTTAAGGAAAAAATATTGAAGACTAATACGAAAGTATAAAGGTTCAATATTGATTATGGCCAAGGTGGGGAAGATTTCCTACAAGGTTAATTTGCCTAAGTGGATGAAGGTACACCTCGTGTTTTACATTAACAACCTTAAATCGTTCCATGCAAATTCAACAAATGTAAGCAAAAGTCAAGCCACGAGAGCCGCCATCAACACCAAGCCACCATCACAGAGCAGAGTAGAAGGGATTCTAATAGGGAAGATGACGATAATCAATTGACAACCAACACAGGAGTATCTAGTGAGATAAGATGGTTTGGGGCCAAATGAAATCACCTAGGAGAAAGAAGTCGATCTTCACGCCTTTAAATAGAAGATTAAAGAATTTCAAGCCAACTAGTCAATGAGGATGTTGATAAATTGAGTAAAGGAGGATATCATGAGTCAACCTTGTATAAGGTTATGATAAGGTAAAATTACATAGGAGATTAAGACTTTAGCACTCGCAAGGGAGATGTCTCCCTTTTAAACATTATAATGGCATTTAGTGGTTGTTTTAGAAACACTTGTTAAGTCTTTAAAAGGAAAACCTTTTAAGAAGGGAATGTTCTCATCTCACACATTCTCAACTCACACTTTGTAATGACTATTGGTAAGATACTTGTAAATCCTCGTAAACTCTTTATAGGAGGTGAGTAATCTACAAATTGTTGGGCTGCTTCACTGGTAACGGTATGATTATAGCAAATCATCTAAAACTGCTTCTATGGCCCCGACAATGGTGTGTTTTGGTCCCTTTGTACTCATTTTCATATCAATAAAACATTTTTCTTTATATGGTTCTATTGGTTGTGTATATGGCATTCGGTATACCTTATGATTTCGATGTGCATTACCTTAATTTAATTTGTGGTTATTGTTGATGTTTGTTCATATATAAACACATTATTGACTGGCTTGCATGGAAGTGTCCACTTAAGCGTCACACGGACTATATTATACTTAAGCCAAAGAGCGTAGTTCATAACACACAACATGTGTGTAGTGAGGTGTCTATGTCCTCAGCCAAACTCGACTTTTATTTGTATGTCCTCAGCCAAACTCGACTTTTATTTGTGTGTCCTCACATTTAGTTATTATTTTAATATTAAAATGATAAAATTAAGTTATTTTAAACCCCTAAACTAGTCAAAAAGTATTCAAATAAATCCTTATTCTTTTATTACGTTTAATTAAGTCTCAATACTTTTATTTTGGGTCAAATAAATCTTTATAACTAATAATTGACTAATTATCATTAGTAAAAATGTCATTTGTCATTTGTCATTTTATTATATCCACATGACACTAACATGACATTTATGCAAAAGGTGAAAAATATCACATGATCATGTTATCATGCCAAATTAACATATCATGTCATCATCAATTGTAATATGCTAGCATACCACATCATAATCAATTATAATATTTTGACATGTCACATCAGTGTCACGTAACATAAAATAACAAATAACATTTGAACTAAATTAATCATTAATCATAAAGATTTATTTAACTCAAAATAAAAAACCACAAAAGTTTATTTGGCTCAAAATAAAAATATAAAGACTTGATTGAATGTAATAAAAATATAAATACTTATTTAAATTTTTTAAATAATTTAATATTTTTCTTTTGTATATATACTTAAATAAATTAATCTAAATAAGTTGGGCCAAATTCAAATTTAAAATTCATATCTAAATTCTATTCAAAGCGAGTCAGGCCCACAGGCCTAGACAAGTAACACCTCTACACGTGTGTAAGAGAACACATGCTGAGTTTTACACTCGAAAATGCTCAAAGTCAACTTAAATATAAAAGTTGGGTTCTTTTTATTAGTCTAAATTTTTTATTAAATTAATTACTCAAATTAACATAGCATCAAATTTGAATATTGATTTTGACAATCTCATTTCCCCTTTTTATATTTTGAGAGTGTAATTTTTATTTTTACTTTATTATATAAATGAATATATCTTATATTGATAATTTTGTCAATTAATGCTTATGCCGAGGGGTTATTCATATGATAAAATTTTTTTTTTTTGTTTTTGAAAAAAAAAACCTGGAATTATTATACTCTATACCCCAAAAAGAATCATGAAGCTATAATTTTAAAGATGAAGGTGAGGTGGACGCGGATGGTAAAGCTTTTTCAACAAACAAAAGGCAGGTATTGTATATGATATTCCAAGATGGAGATGGAGAACAAGGTATGAAATTGGCCACTTGGTCATTGCATGTGACACAAATGGAAACTTGTCCTCTTTGTTTTATTGGAGAACCAATCCAGAAATTGGCCGAAACAAAGCATTATTATATATATGAGTAAAAAGAAGAAGCAAATTTTGTTAATTAATTTTATGAGAATATATATGATCAAAAAAGATTTTGTACCTCATAGAGTGATCTAGCATTTCCGAATATGAAATCAATGGAACCTTGTATGAAGCATCCTTTGAAATAATGCCTACCCCGCTCATCAAGAAGGGTGTCTTGGGCTCCATAAAATCCACAATTGTAAAACGCAGCTTGATCACCTGCTATTCTTAGTGCCACTGCCTGCTTTCCAGTTTCACCAGGAGATGGCTCTGGAGCTGTATTCTTTTTGAGAAAATTGGAACCCCAGCCCAACAAATAGCCACGTAAAATGAATAAGAAATCAATTTTAATCAACAACTAAATCTCAGTAAATATATGAACAACTTGAGGTTTTACATGTATGAAACAAAGGATTTGAGCTACTAAGTTTTTGGTGATAGATTATGGACTTAAAATTGAGAGGTTTTGGTTTTGGCCAAAAAAATTGAGGGTTAAATACAGCTCAACCTTAGCTAGTTTGATGGTAATCAGACATGATACACATCGTCAAGATTGCCCTCTTTATGGCCTCGAGCCTCAAATCCGATTCAGAAGATGGGTTTGGGCTTATACTCCAAATACAGTACAGAAATTATTATTTGATTTAAAGGTGATCTGCCTCTCAACCGAAAAAAAACACATAAGAGTGACGACTTACCTTAAAGCTAATGTTGTATGCTGTGAAGTTAGGAGCAAAGATGGCAACTGAAGAGCTGTACACGGTCCCTCCAGTGGAATTCGCAGTGTCATTCCATTCTATTGCTGTCTTGAGAAAACCCTCACCTTGAATTATCAAGTTGGATTTGTTGGCATGGATTACTACCTTCTCCCTGTCACCATGTAGTTAGTTTCATTCAGCGAGGCTCCATGCACAAGATTCCATTATGTGTAATCAATAGCGTCAGGTTTTTATGGTGCATGTGCAGATACAGAACAAAGAAATCAACAAGTTGTTGAATCTCGAAACCGTTTTAATAATGACCTGTATATACCAGAATAAATAACGATCAAGGTCTTGGACGGGCTCGAGTCAGGAACAACGTCTATCGCCTGCTGCACACTGCTAAAATTCGCGCAACCTTTCCAGTCAACTGTCAATACAAGTGACACTTTGCACTGAGAAATAAGGCTAGACGTCCATTTGGTATGATCGCATTTGTGCTTACGCCGCCCTCGATGGTGGCGGTGGTGATGATGATGATGATGGTGGTGGTGGTGGTGATGTCTAGACACCATCCTCGTTAGCAGAGATAGGAATTCACCACTTTGCCCCGCAACTTCAAAACTATTATGACTGCTGGGTGTGATGCTTGATTTGGAGGGAGGAGGGACGGTATACAGAGCAATTAGAATGGAGATCAGTGCAATGACAAAGGCTAAAAGCCAAAAGGAGATTGTTTTGATCCTCATGGTTAATGGTTTGGCGTTAGTTAGAGCGTGATGTGATACTTGAGCTAAAAGAGGAGGGGCAAGGAATGGCTACATGATTCCCTTCCCTTGGGAAGGGGTGATTGGCGTGGGAGGCAAGATACGTATGGGCCTTGTCAATAGTGATGTTTGTGCGTCTACTGATGATTCTAGCTTCTTCTTTAAAAGTAACGGTGCTAGAAAATAAAAAGAGATGAAGACTTGAAAGATGGTTAAAGGTTGGAAACTGCATACGCTAAGCCATGAGAGAGAAGGACAGATTATGGCAATGATGACAGTACGGGAAGTGCAAGATTTGCATGTTTATTGAGTACCAGATACTCCTTGAGCAATATAAGATATGAAAATGCTTAATATAATTACGACCTAAACCACTGGCGTGTTGAGTAACCGATGCCATGATAATCGAGAATGCAAACGCCTGTATTAAGCTTTAACCAACTAGCCGAAAGATGGAGAGTTTCTTCACACGGTAATAACTGCTTTAAAATCTCAACTTGCTTGCCTTTTTGGGCTAAAAACGAAATCTGATGGTTTGCTTAAATTTTATGCCACTGCACATGAGCACTACCCTATTCATGGTCGGAGGTTCAGAGAAATCATTGTTTCTTAGACCACAAAGGTGGGAGGGAACCTACAACCGACAGCTTTTTTTGCAACTCTAAAATCAATTACACTGTCGTATAAGTTATCCAGCCAATTTCTTGCTTGTTTATATCCTTTTTCAGACATGGCCAACATTTGTGTGAGACCAACAAAAATAAAAAAAATAAAAAAAAATAATGAAGGAAAAAGCAGCTTTAACATTGAAGTTAGACTTCCATCCATTGTCGTTCCGTTTTCCTTTCTGCTAAAAAGCTAGTAAACAAACTAAGAGATCCAACCCCACTCTAGTCCTAACGGACTTTACAGAAAGATCCAAAGACATCAAAATATAAACCCAATAACTTGGAATACCTATTTACTATTCTGCCAAATTCAAGTCCTTTGCCCGGCTGTTTTGCTAATAGTACTAGGATCAGAAAAATTTTCACAGCACTTCACATTGGAGCTCCTTCCAGTTCACAATTGAGCTCACTTCTTTATCTTCACCTTAAAACTGACAGAATAACACATTTATGTACCTCAATGTCTACTTTCTTGCACAAATTAAATATTTCTTAAAAAAAAAACAAAAGGAAACAAGAAACACAGAAATGCACTTCCTTTTGCTACAAAAATAGCTCTGCCTTACTCCACTTCATTATACGTCACTGTAGGCTCAGCACTATTAACAACACGACAGGGAGGAACTTCTTTCTGTAGCATGGAAGTTCCTTTGAAAATCACCATCTGGCAGCAGGATTTTTTATATTCACTAAGCTGAAGGACAAGGCAGATGTAAAGTTTCAGTACCAATAGCACCCAAGTTAATGTTCAAAAAAAAAAAATGGCACCCAATTTGCACAACAGAATATAAGCACATTATGATGTATTAACAAACCTGATCTGGTCTTAACTTCTTGAAACCAAACTTATCTGTCCAGATTGATTCTGCTTCTTCAGCAGCTGGAAGCACAAGGTTTTTGACATTCAAGAATGCCAGTAGCTTCTCAATACAGGAAAACAACAACTGGAAGTAGCCCTGTAATGTAATTTAGCTCCACTAAATCAACATTGCTAAGAATGATATTGAAACAGGTGATAAAAGATGCAGCACCTGCCTAGTATATATATTATACTTTGAAATTAACCATTTCCTAACATTATAAGGAACTCAAATAACCGTATTCCTTACATTGTGCTTTTGTCATTGCCAGTGTGTTCCCAACTAAACTAGGTCCTAAGAACCTTAATATTCAATCCTACGTTACAAATTATATCCTGCACCCACAATCCCAAATTTGAAAACCTTACCACTTGCCACTGGTGTGAAAGAATTACATAGCCAGACAATAGCAGACAATTGGAAATCCAGCTGACTAGAACCATCTAGAAGAGGTGGGAATTGTAGGAAAAGGTCATAAAGACAAAAGTTGGGATACATTAGCCTCACCTTCCCATGGTTAGCAATGCTTGTCGCAACTAAAGGAAGTTCTGCAATTTCTTGCCCAAAAACTCGAATTATTCCAGCTGATACAACGAATGAGCTGCAGCATTAGCAAAAGAGAATATTGTCAACATTCTAATAGCAAAAGTATATAAAGCTTTAAAGTTTATGCAAATATGCCTTACTTGATTGTCAATACTGCACAGTACATTCCCCCATATTCTTGGCCCTTTAAATTCCTTCTGAGAGAGGGAGAGAAAGAAAGATGCACATTTGTCAAAGAAAAAAATTGGACAGTGCACTCGTGTTAATGTGCAACCAGCTATTGAAGCACAATAAACAGTCTCAAGCTTACCCATAAACCATGCATGGGATAAGGTCACGCCCAGTTGTTGCATCAACTATAGGGTCGAAACATTCCTTTAAAAAAAGGAAAAAAGAGAGAAAATCAGAAAAATTTCAGAAAAATGAGGCAAGCCATGGCTTCACATATCTTCTACTTTTTGACAAATAGAACATAGCCTATCACTTAATTAGCATATTAAATCAGAGTCCCAGAAAGTAAAATTGTCTTAAACTAGAAAATTGCAGTTTGAAATGAAACATACAAATCACAAGTGAATTTTGCCAAGCAACGTTTCAGATTGGCAGGATAAAATCCTGCTCACATAAATCTAGTTGGATTTCACCTTCTCATATCCCCTAAAAGCCATTAAAGCAGTCCCCATGCAGACGCATCAAAGTAGCTATAAAGTGTGATGTTTTTAAGCCAGAGAAACAAAATGCATCCATTTATCAATAGCTTTGGCCTCATGGATAAATTACTCTTATGAATTAAATTTTTCCAATCACTTTCTTTCTATAAATATTATTAATATGCCACAAACTCCAGTATAATAATGTCAAAGCAAGGTAAATTGAGATGCATCCTAATTTTAATGATGTTAGCAAAAATAAAAGAAGTATATTCGAGGAAAGTAAAAGATAAACATATATAAACTATATAAACTCAGTATATTGCCTTTCCTTATTACTGTAGTAGAAGTTAAAATGAAAATTAAAAGATAAAGAAAACGAGAAAAGAATGAGAAAATGAAGCATAAAGGTTAATTAAAGTGCTTCTGACGTTTCTATACAACACATTCAACCCAAACAGCATATTTTCAAAATAAATACTTAAAAACAAACATACGATAATTGCAGTAACTACAGAAAAACATTGCATGGGAACTGCTTATCAACAGTGGCAACAACCATTTTTTCATAGGATGAAACATCTAAATACAACATGAACAAGACTTACATGGAAGATACCAACTGCTTGAGAAAGCAACAATCTAGTTTCAGGAGAAGCAAATTTGCCACTAAGAAGCCTCCATCTAACATCAATATTGATGTCAGCATCTAAACCCTTTTCCACATATTTCTTCCGTATAACATCCAAAAGGGAGTCTGGAAGCTTTTCAGCTTCACGAATGAGCAACTTCTGCAGTGTAGAATGAATCCTACTGCAATCTGAACAGCAAAACCACTTCCCTCTTGGTATTTCCTGTTGTACAGGTGGCATCAGTATTTTCATCCTCTATAGGATAACGTCCAATAATCAAAGGTACAAGTGGCATCAGGGGTGAAGAGTTTCATATCAAATAATCAAAGGTACAACAACAATATTAACAGTAGTACGTACCCTTAGATCAGCCATTTTATGAGTCCTCAAACAGCCAATATGATATTCTTTTTCACACTGATCCAAAATTATTTTTTAAAATAAAAACACACAAAAAAAAGGGTGCCCAAATCAGTGGAAATACAATTAAAAAGAAAAACATGTTTAGCAACTTGAGAGCCAATGTATATAACAGGATGAAATGAAAAATGATCATACCTGATCACACAGTAAAATTGTCCGAGGACCAAATCCTGATTTGCTAAAATCACACGCCCTATAAAATCAAAAAAACAATTATTTCAAGCAAAATCAAAGGGTATCGAGGACAGAAATAAAAAAATTTATGGAAATGTCACAATAAAAATAAAGTCCAAGCAAACTGTATAAAAATAGCCTTATTAAAACTATAAGCTTCAATCAGCTTCATCCTAGTGCGTATCCATCACCTGCATAATGAGCACCCACTAAGTTCTGCCTCAATGTTTTTCACAATACGTATGCATCTGCTGGTTATTTGTTCTATAGCATCAACTCCTAAAATCCTTCCAGCAGCAACAGCATTAGCATTATGCTCCACAAATTTTTCTCTCATAAACATATTCTGGCAATATTTGCAGTACCAGCGACCACGAGGAATTGTTGGTAGAGATGCACATTCTGCATATATCAAGTAAGTTACTACTCAATATCAATTAGATAAATCAAACTAATCTTCAGAGGCAACAACAATACTCTTTGACATGCCACAGAAAGCTAAACCACAAAAACAAAACAATGACTTTAAGCACAACCATCTTTGTTTGAGATTTAGAAACAGAAGAGTATATCTCAATAAGTGGAAATACACAAGGATACACCTGTAACCAAGTTTTGAATTTCTTAAAGTTTAAAAATTATAGAAGTATAATAAAATAAATAGGTCTAGGTAAAGAAAATTTGCCAAGAAAAATTACTATAAAACATCTAAACATGCACCAGAGAGACTAAGAGAGAGTACATCCATGTTAATATGTAACACCATTGACTGAGTTGGTCTCCAACAACTCAAGTCTCTATTTAAATTTAACAGAGTTTGGTCTTTCATACAACTCAAACTCCACCTCTCCTGTTTATTTTCCACTATCCCTTTTCTTCAAATAAAACATTCCATTTAAATATCATACTGCACATTTTGAGAAACTGTTATTCTCTTTGTTTTTTTTTCTCCTTATTATCTTCTCTAGGTAAAATATATAAATTCTTTATCATCTACATAGTCTATGCCAATAGTCTAGTACAGTAAATCTCATGCATATCAGGTACAGGGATTAGAGACCTCAGGTTGCCACATTTATCCTTCTTGACAATACAGAAAACAGTAAATGCTCATATCAATCCCTGAAATCCCAAAGACAAATAAATAAAACCTTACAATGTCCAAACTATACCACAAAGTAAAGCTGTGAAACCAATATAACCACCCACCCATGCATTTCCTACTTAAAATTTAAAGAAATTATTGATATTTACAATCAAACCTTTATGGAAAGCCCTTGGGCATCCATCACAGAGCAAAAGATTTCCACCATCTGCACAAATGATGCATGCATCATCATTATCCTTGGCAGAATAACGACGACCTTTTGAGAGAGATATTGCCAGTTCATGCAAAGACACCCCATTAGATGTGTAAATGTATGCATAGCTGCCCAAAGACACAAATATAATCAAGATATACTTAACAAAGATAGAGTAACTTCGGAAAAAAACTGTAAAGCATCTGCTATGAAAACATACGGTTTTCGACGAGAAGCCCAACCAGCATGAGCTTCAAACTGTGAGGGACTAACCTGCACAATAACAAAGGAAAGAGCATAAACAGACACCCAATGTAATTTAGAAATTCTGAAGCTCAAGCAATAAAAGCACAATACCTCACAATTGCAACAACGACAAAATATCCCAAAGCCCTTTTTGTAACCCTCAAGCAATCTCTGCCCATTAAAACTAATCACACTTTACACACCACTGAGATACAAAGGCATAAAATAAATTACTTTTGTCTCAATTACCTGTCCTCGGGCATAGTATGCAACTTCAGTTCCATCAGGCAATCCATCTTCCTCAAATACCAACTTATGCAATCGCTGATCTCTATAGAAATTAACAATTCCAAGAAGATAAGGAGATTACATCAGAAAAGGAAGTAAAACCTTAGTCCAGAAATATATTAAAAGGTACCAACTTTGTTGTCATCTTCCATTGACTTCCATTGGGTGAATACATAGGCAATGAGGCACCTTTCAAGGTCTTTGACATCAAAACTGGTTTTATTGGCCTGAGAAATTCCAACAAAAGCACACAAAGGGAATAAGTATGAAGAAAAAATAAAAAGACTATGAGAAGAAGCTTCACTAAAAACAGGTCCTTGTGTCTTGAGGCCAAACTTTGCAGGCATAGGAAGTGAACAGAAGTGAGAAACCGACCATCATTAAAAATGACCAAAAAAAAGGATAAAAATTATACTAACTTCTTTTTTATTCTCCATTGGGCTTTATCTTGTGAGGAAATATGCACTGAAGCACTCTTCAAGGACTTTGTGAATAACCCTGGTTTTGTTAACCTAGAAATAACATAGAGATGGAAGCATGATGCACCAATTAAAAACTATATAAAAAAAAAGGAACATTATTTAACTTTTAAACTACCATCTAGGACTAAACTACTTCCAAATAGAACCATTTAATTCACACAAATGAAAAGAAAATAATTAAAGAAAAAATTATGCTATAGTTCATGACAACAACAAGACATAAAAGGTCACCAACTTTCTTGTTGTCTTCCATGGACTCCTATTTTGCAAAGAAAAGCATAATGAAGCACATTGGGATGAATTTGATGTCACATCAAGCTCTGATGACCTGAAACAATGTAGGAGGCACATGAAAAGAAGGCATTAAAAATCAATAATGCATATCATTATAAAACAAATAATTTTATGAGCCAAAAAGGATGGTAAAAGATGCCACTAAAAAACATAATCAAAAAGATATTAAGAGATACTAACTTCCTTGCTTTCTTCCATTGACTTTTATTTTGTGGAGAAACACTCGATGATGCACTTCCAAAAGACTGTGACATCAGAAGTGGTTCCTGTGATCTGAAATAATAAAAACGCAAAAAAACAAATAAAAGAAGTAAAATAGATGTTAAACCAAGAACTAACTAATAAGCATTAAGAAAAGATTATATTAACAATATCTGGAAACATTTCACACCAGTTAGCTTGCAAACAATATATAAAATTTACTAACTTTCTTGCCATCTTCCATTGACTTGTTGATTGCGGAACAATACCCACTGAAGAGCTTCCAGAGGAATGTGAAATCAATACTGGTTCTTGCGATCTGAAATAACACAATACAACCATATAAAATAATGTATATAGACATTAATACTGGAAACTAACTCAAATATAAAAACAAACATCATTCTAGCATTTCCTTACAACTTCAATTATGTTTAATTTCATACTGAATTCAGTTTAATATCCTCCCAAGTAAAAATGAATAGGTTGCATTTCTATGAAGCAGTATGCATATTAAATAGATATCAGTCAAATAAACTTGACATGCCCCTTCTTTCTATTATATACCAATCAATTATGGCTGAATGACAGTCAAAAAGGCCATCAATATCATACAAAGATTTGAATCCAACACCCTGAAGGGGTATTACATGGTAATGAATTATAGTGAATGCTTGGTAACAGACAGTGCATATTACAAATACTTTAGCACATCCAATGATAAAACTACAAAATTCAGACACCTGAACAGTGCAATTGTAAAACAAATAGAAAATTCAACTTAATGACTAACATTAATATCCCTAACCAAGTAAACTTTATAGTAGAAGAGACATCATGCTACTAATCTTTTAAGAAAGCAACACTTAAAGAAGCATACCTAGCAACTGCACTGGGTGCACTCATTGTACTGCACTGAGATTTCTTTGACTCCACACATGAATTGCATAGCGGCCCTATTTGGCCAACATGTATTACAGGAAATGAACCTAGAAATAAGTGAATGACAAAAAAGAATAAGATTCAAATACAATCAAAACCGTTCTACTTACTTGCCCCTGTCAATAATAATATAGTTAATAAGAGAAAAGGTCACCTTTGCATCTTCTACAAGTGAAACACTTTTGCTCTGGTAAAGCACTAAGTATATTTTGAATTGTTGCTTCCAATGTATGCAGAGGTCTTCTCCTGCATGCCCTCAACACCTCAAGCAGGCTCTTCCCATTCTCAAAGCAGATATACTGTGCTGCACGTTTGTATTGTTTACAAGCATGAATCTCGAATTGGGAAGGTGGAACAACCTAAAATTATTAAGGAAATAAAAACAGCATCAAGAAGCAGAAAAAACAGCATTTATTAAGTCATGGAGTTACACAGATTTACATTGTAGAAAAGAAATTTCTTACTCTGCGGCCTTTGCACAAGGAACATGAACACAAAATTCCTCCATCTGTAATGATGCCCCGGAGACCAGCTGTCTGGAAGTATAATACCACTAACAGTAAGCCTTCAGCTATGCACTACATTTGAATTCTAAACTAAAAGAAACAAATGACAGAAACCTTATATTAGAAAAAAAAAATAATATAGGCATCAAAGAATTACCTTACTACTTATTGTACCCATGTAAACCACTGGAACCCCATCAAGTAAACCAGTGTCAAAGAGCTCTTTAACTGTCATTGGGCACTTATTAAGTGCAATCTTTTTTGACATTTTCAACTCCAAATTCTTCCTTGGAGTAGTCAAATCACTTCCTTCAGCGGCTTCCTCTCCACCAAAACTTGAAACTGACACATTTTCAACAGTGTGCTGTTCGCACTCCAAACTGTCTAGTGGTTCAACCTTAGGTCTCAATAATGATCGTTTAGACCGCCGCAGGGTCTTCAAGAGAAAATCAGTCTTCCCTTCGCTACTGTCAACAATCTGCATGGAAGCCTCCCCAAGACCTCCTTCCTTAACCAGACACGTTCCCAGCTCATTGCTTCGCTCATCTTTAGACATGACCATTGCCGAATTATAACTGGACCCTTCACCAAGCCTAGCTTGAAGAACAAGCCTACCATCTCTTCCAATTTCCTCAACTACAAGGTTCCCTACAATGGCATTTTCTCCAATAACACGGCTCTCCTCAATTGAAGCCTCTACAAATGGACCGCCTTCACCAATATCTCGATCAACTAAGCTCTCATCAACCACATTTTTAACCAAAACATTCTCCCCAGCTACATTCTCATTCCCCGGTCTACTTCCAATTACATCTTCAATTACATTATTGTTCCCATGACTAACTTCAATCAGAGTTTTATTCTTCTGATCCTCACCAACTAAACATTCTTTAACACCATTAATCGGCTCATTAAAGTTCTCAAACTTCTTATTTTCTAAATTTTCCGAAAATTCATCACGGCAATTAATTCTTGACTTTTTAACTCGAGTATAAACAATGTAACCATTCACTTGAGTAACTTTAACTCTCTTACAACTAGTACTAGACCTCGCCTGAGTTTGAGATTGAGTCAATGACTCCCGAGTTGGACCGAGTGAACCCTCCAATCCGAATTCCAACTCTCGCTTCATGCCTCACTTACTTCACTCCCAAAATCCACTAAAATTCTGCAAACAAAAAAAATAAAAAAAATTAAAAATATATTAATCAAATAAAAAATCGAAAATTCGACCATTTTTCTACGGCGAAGTGAAGGATTTTACCGATTAGGCTCAGATAAGGGCCATGACAGATTATAAGGAAAGTGAAAATTTTGGGAGGCGAAAGAAAAATGAAGGGTTAGGGGATCGGACTTGAGCAGATTTAGGGTTTTTGATTGAATCGTTTTGGATTTGAAGAGGAATCTCAAATTTTTGGGGCTTTTTCTTTTCCTTTTTTCGGGTTGTCGTTGGGAGATGAAACCGACCAGCTAGCGAGAGAGAGAGAGAGAGTCAGATTGGGATTTTAAGGGGAGGGGGCAAATGGCAGGATACGTAAATAAGAGAGTAGGAAAGGAAATCTGAATTGACGATATTAGCCCTACTTGATTTCCCCGTTGCCTAGCCCTTATCAATTCAAGTGGAGTCTAGTCCGGGCCTCTTACCTTTTTTAATTTGGAGGCCCAGTGTTCTGGGCTTCTATTTGGGCTGTCGATCATCTCTGAACCCAAAACTGATGTCAATTACCCATTCAAAATGGGTGTGCGAACATTTGTTCGTGAAATCGGTTTTGAAAATCTCAAAACCAAACTATTCCTGTAACAATATCGAAATTAAATCAAAGTAGGTCTAATAATTAAAAAACCAAAAATCAAACTTCTTCAATTAGTTTAGTTCGATTATTGAAAATCAAATTTATAAAAATGGAGAGAAAAAAATGTGAGAATGTGACTTTTTTTTATTGCATTTTATGTTGAGAATTTTTTTCTTTTTTTTGTTTTTTAATTGTTGAGATTTTTTTTATTTTGTTTTCTTAATTGAATAATAAATAATGAATAATATTGAGCAAAAAAATGAATAATTTTCTTTTGTTTTTTGAACTTAAAGCTTTTTTATCTTCTTCAAATAAATGTATACACATAGTGTCTGCACTCAATATAATTGCTTCCTTTAATTAAGGCATTGTCAATAAAAATTATTTGGAGTTAATATTATATACTTGGTCTTAGACTTTGCATATGAAAAACATGGAGTTGATACATCAATTGATAATAAAACATACTAAAATTCCCTTTGGTTAGTTAGTATTACTCACTTCAATTAGTTCAATTGCTCCAATTGGAAAAATTTCAAACCGAAGACCGAACAAATTAAACTATACCAATCGAACTTAATTAACTAAAATAAACGAATAGCAAATTAACCAAATCAAAAAGATTAAACTTACTTCAGTTCAATTTGGTTCTTCAATTCAATTTGATTTGGCACCTTCTACCCATTTTAAATTAGTAAAGCCCAAATTTTTGGCTAGTAATGACCCAAAATTACTCCTTTAAAAGGTAATGTTTCGGAGTACATATAGTAGGCTATATATACGATTATCGTAAAAGGTTCAGGAGTTTAAATTCATGACCTCATAAAAGCAAATACTGATTTTCAATATATGGTAGAAAAAAAATATCATTTTTCTAAGCTTAATAAAGTTATCATAAACACTAAATAAAAGCAAATAAATTACAATTTCATTCATGAATGATTAGTTAATACCATTAAAAAAATATGTCGCTATTGAAAATGATTCAAACATAACTTGTTAATACAATTAAAACATACAAAGTTAACTGTGTTCGTATTGAAGATAATTGTATTTCATGTCGTAAACGCAATTATACGTTCAAGACATGATAATTTTGTATCTTACATGGATGAAGTCACTTAAATACAATTTGTTTAATTAATCATGTAATCATATCAATCTGTATGACATGACATGCTTAACCTGTTTTGCTTCTATCTTCCTTTGATTATGGAAAACAAATAACTCATAATAATTGTATTTTATTATGGTTAATGATAATGGAAATCATTTGAATTTTCATAAGTTGTTTACTAATCTTATGATTATTAATTTTAAAATTAAACAATGGAGTTCTAGTTTTACATTTAAGTATTAAAAATAAATTATAAATAAAAATAATTTTTTAAATAGTTATTATTTCTTAAACAAATCAAACAAGTTAATCATGTTGATTATATATAATGGGTTTATAGTGTTAAATTATGTCATATAGAATTTAATCTAATATTTTTAAAAAATGCAGTAATCATGTCATATCATGTAACATTTTTACGTATCTGTGTACATATTTAAAATTTCAAACATATTTAATTAATCGTGTCGTGATCATTTTTACTCATATAATTTTTAATATTATATATTTTAATGATTAAAACGCTTAAAATATGAATTGCTAGTTTTGTATGTAGCCAATCAAGCACATATTTAAGATTCATTTTTCTAATTATCAATTCTCCATGGATAACCATTTTTAACTTATCATATAAGTTTTCAAAAGCAAAGGTTTTGTGATTTTAAAACAAAATTTTTAAAGTTTCTAAGATACGAAATTTTAATTTTCAATTCAATAACAACAGTTATTATTTAAGATAAAAGTCAAGGATCTAATATTGATAAAAAAAATAAGGTATTTCACGAGTGATTCAAGGGCGTAGCTTCCAAAGGGATTCACGTTTCTATTTTTTTCTAAGTTTTTTAATACCTAATGTTAATTAATTTTGATGACTAATTAAGTAATAACCCCTATTATATAAATATACTAATGGATTTGGATCCATTTGACGTATCCATATTCCAACAAAACTTATATAAAACCCATGACTAGTATTTTATTTAGAATTTTTTAATCTAATATTATCATTTTAATTTCTTAAATTAATTAAAAAACCTTATTTAGCCACTTATTACAATAATGTAAATCAACACATCAAAATAACCTTAGAGAAAAGAATTATTAATGAGGTCTCATTATATTCTTTACTAATAAGTCATTTCTTCGTATCACATTCATCAAGGGCTCGATGGATAAATAATTTTCACTATCACATTCAACCCATTTAATACCAATTCATGATTTTCCTTTTTATTACATTTTAAAAAATATATTTTTTCAAAATCTCTTATATAATAATATTAATGTAAATAATAATATAATTCTAAAACACTTAAAATGCAAACCGTGTCATGATTTTTTGAATCCAACAATCTTATGAAACTTGCTTGAATATCCTTTTCAATAGAGAATGGTGAATTCTTTGTTGAGCACTAAATATAATTTATTTAGTATGTCCATCACTCAATATACTAGGGTATAAACTTTAAATTTAGTATCACTTGTTGACAACATTAAAGTTATATAAATACCAAATAAAATATATTGACCTCTCAAGCTTAAGGATAATTCTTTTTAAAAAAATGTTTAAAGATAATTAATAAATCGTAATAAATCTTTTTAATGACAAGATCATGTTTAATATATGTATCTCATAAACCACATCCACTTATTTGCTTTAAATTACCATCTCAATAGCAGAGGTAGCTCAATAATCTTTAAAACTTAAAACTAAACATTCAAATGAGACATTTTTTTAAAAAAATAAGAAAAATCAGATGTGAAAAAGAGCAGAGGATTAATAGCAGTGTAAAAATTGAAAAGTGATAAAGAATTGAAATTTGTTAGGCACATAATTAGTAAAGTGAGAAAATATATTATTTTATTAATTATTTTTAACTTTTACATATTTTTAATGAAAAATAAATAAATAGTTAAGGATTAATAGAGATATGTGAAATGAGAGAAAATAGATATTTATTAGGCATGAGAGGATGATAGATATTTTATTAATTATTTTAATTTTTACATATTTTTAACATAATTAATTATATTCTTATAATTTGGAGCTAAAGCAAGGGCTTTGCTTGTTTTATCCTAGAGTCAATCCTGCTCAATAGCAGAGTTAAAACGTTTTATCTTTTAATATATTTTTTCTTAAGTGTAAGTTTTAAACATTTTGTCACATTTATGGTGTAGAAAAGGTTTTGGTAAATAAGGAACTGAACAATTATGACACCTTACTTAATAGTTTATCAATTATTAGTGTATAGTTTTTCTACAATGCCACCAAATAATTTATGATTATAGTATATATGTGATAAATGAATAAAATACCTTATGTGAAAGCAATAATTAATATATTAACTTATTTATCTAATAAATAATAAAATTTATTTTTAAAAATACATCTCTACCAAATTCATGATAATCAAATTTGTCAAATAAGACTATGTATATTTTTACAGCGTACTGTTCTAGTATTGCTTAATTCAAGAGCTAATCAATAATATTAAGGTGCTTAACGATTGAAAGTCTTAGTACTCTGTGGTAAATATAAATAGAAACAAAAGGAAGTTTTGCAGGTCAAACTTCTATTTTTTTAATGTCTCACATGTACTCCACCAACTGATCATGAGTTAACCCCAAGTGCTAAATTTTTAAACGTAATTAGAAAGTAATTAATTATATCAACCATGCTTATTTTATTAATTAAACATTAACATATATAATCGGCGGCCTTTTCTTAGATTTTGTCGATAATAGTTGCAGCAGTATAATATTCTCTCTCCTGGGCAGGTTGGCATTCAACCTAATTAAGAATTGGCATGTTGCAAGGCACATCTGACTTGCACATATAGAGATTAAGATGAGGCAAACGTTAGGATGTCGGCTGCTTGCAAACTCCTTATACTTGTGCTAAAAATCTTTCCCAAATGGTATCCCACTTAAGTGATAATACCGATGAATTCCCCCAAGATACTATGTCCCTTACCAGTTATTCTAGACACAGCTCATCTATCTGCTTGTGTGCAACTTAAAGCTCTCAAAACAATGAGTCAGATGAACAATTTGAGTGTATCCCATGCGTGCAAAAGAGCAAGAGTACTGCTAAGTTTAATCAAGCTGAATCTGGCATCCGTCCACATCCATGAGATGGGAAACTGCTACAACTGGAGCCAATCCGCAATGAAAAATGTTACCAATTAATAAATTGAGGTGATTCAGCTTTTGTTGTCTAAGTAGCTTGAGACAGATCACTTGAAAAGCTTATAGCAGTGTACATCATGAGGAGCATCTAGCTAGAAATTAACGTGTGCCATCGTGAAGTTATGCGCAAGGTGTTTGTAAATCTTGGAAAGCACTGCATTAATGACTCACCATCTGTATGTTTATCATGATGTTTTCTGCTTTGTTCCTAAATCATTATCAGCTTTAGGCCCCTTAAACAAAGATGTTTAATTTGCCCTATTTGACAACAAATATGTACTCGTAACATTATACCAACAACTCATATATATTAAGCACGTGGTTGGCCTCTCTTTCTCTCTGAAAAAGTTGAAAAACATAAAAATGGGGTGATCCTATTTGTCTAAAGTAGGGC